CAGCGCTTCCGGCCCGGCAGACTCCGCCCACCACCGCCACTGCGCGCGCGCAGGACGGGAAGTCCCGCCCACCAACGCTCCGAACGTTCGCCTCGATGCGTCACGCGCGGCATCCTTTGGCTGCTCCCTCGCGCCTGCCCTTCAGTGTTCCTTTCCCCCTCTGCTATCATGGCTCTGGCCAGAGCCCCAGTCCCCATGTACAGCTGCTTGGGGCACCCAAACCATTGAGGCTGGGGCACCACTGGGTGCGTTTCCTGTAAGTGGGGCGTGTGTGGCCCACAACTAGGTTTCTGTTTCTGTTGGTGGTGCACATGAATGTGCCTCCAGGGACATAAAAATATTCCCCACATAGATGGAAAAAATTGCAGGGAACATTGTCACAGGGTTTTAATGTCCACCCATGTACCTCTTCCTATCCTAGTTCTGGGGCTCTGCTCTCTCCTGGCAGAATCTAGTTCACTTAAAAATGAAAGAGGGTGCCAGATCAATTAGCAGACATGAAAACTGGGGAAGAGCTAGGGTACGTCTAGACTACATGCCTCCATCGACGGAGGCATGTAGATTAGCCAGATCGGCAGAGGGAAAGGAAGCCGCGATTAAAATAATCGCGGCTTCATTTTCCTCTGCCGGTCTGGCTAATCTACATGCCTCCATCGACGGAGGCATGTAGATTAGCCAGATCGGCAGAGGGAAAGGAAGCCGCGATTAAAATAATCGCGGCTTCATTTTCCTCTGCCGGTCTGGCTAATCTACATGCCTCCATCGACGGAGGCATGTAGATTAGCCAGATCGGCAGAGGGAAAGGAAGCCGCGATTAAAATAATCGCGGCTTCATTTTCCTCTGCCGGTCTGGCTAATCTACATGCCTCCATCGACGGAGGCATGTAGATTAGCCAGATCGGCAGAGGGAAAGGAAGCCGCGATTAAAATAATCGCGGCTTCATTTTCCTCTGCCGGTCTGGCTAATCTACATGCCTCCATCGACCGAGGCATGTAGTCTAGACGTACCCCTATTCAAGTGGCAGTAAAGCCATTTAACAGGCATTTGCCAACCGGAGGTATATCCTATCAGTTTGCATTTACTGGGTTAGTCTACAGGTCCTTAGTTTAAAATTTGCTTTAAAAATATGTCATTAGTATGTTGCTGAAGATTATAAAATCACATCTCTAAAAAATAGTCCTTCCCCTCCCAGGTTTGGCAACAAGCCCACTCAGAAGCCTGTCTGTCTCCTTGGCAGATCAAGCAGCTGGTCTTCATCTTAATAAATCTCTATAGCAGGGATAGGGAATATTTTTGGTCAAAGATGCAGGTCAATCATATCTTGTGGGGAGGAATGATTTTTTAAAAGTGTGGCCTGAGTGATGATCCTGTTTTAAAGAGGCAAGCTGCTGGAACAGCAGCAGAATATGAAAAACTCTGCCAGCAAGAGCACAGAACAAATTAAGACTGCTGCCTCAGAATTTTTGCAGCACTACTCAAGAGATTTCAATCATTCTTTTTTTCTCCGTGTGATAATGTGGCATAGCCTGTTTCTCTGGCTCTGCTAAAAGTAATATGCATCAAGTTTTAGCTATTTTCATCCCACAAGGCAGGGAGCTATTTTTCAGAACTATTTTGGGCTGTAGTCAAATGAACCTTTCCCTCCATTTACACACAAAGAAATTCCACATCACCCTTATTTGCCAGAGATGCTAAACCTAAAACTCAGAAGCCAGCATCTCATGTTCAGCTGCATTCAGGCATGCGGACTGGGTATTGTTTTAGCACATAGCTTCTATCCTCACTAGAGCCTGCACCCAAACTCCCTCCCAGAGCCTTAGGCAGGTGAAGTGGAGGGAGATTGGGTCAGGGAGGGGTGCAGGCTCTGGCCATTCTGGGTGCCACCAAAATTTCTGCAAACCTGGTGCCCCTGTATGCTAGTTAGGGATGCAGAAGTTTCACCTCTTCACTGGCATTGCTATTCCAGCAAATCCCCACTCTAGCTACAGTTAAAAGTTCTTTTGGTTGTATGGCTTATTTCTTTTGTAGAATTTGGCAATCCTGGCCAAAAACACCCCATGTTTTTGTGTGTGGCCAGTGTAGACTGAATTTTTGTTAGGAGGATTTGCCCATATAGTTCTAATTAAGAGACTAAGGTGCAGTTGAGAGAGTCACAGAGGGATAGCCCTGTTAATCTGTAACTTTAAAAACAAGTAGTCCTGTGGCATTCCACAAAAACTCATAATTCTATATATATATATTTTAGTCTCTAAGGTGCCACAGGACTACTTGTTTTTGGGAGTCAGACATTGCAATGAATCTAAGCATTCAATCCATATTTCTTAAATGGTTTGATAGTCTCATGCTCGGTTCTTAATACTAGGGATAGCGATGCTTTTTGGAAAGAGACACCTACAAATTCACTGTTACATACCAATCTTCTAAAATACTGTGCGTGACTCTGAAAAAGAGCTCTATGTACAAAAGCTTGTGTCTTCTCATCAATGGAAGATACTATGAAAGATA